GCGTAGTCAGCAGACCTTTGGAGGTACGAAAGGAGTCGCACTCCTATCTCCACACGGCGGGGTGCCGCTTTCGTAACGCGATGTCGGGTCGACTGCGCTGCGACAACCATAACAGTTCGCCGCACAGCTTCTGTGCTTGTTTAACATCATTTTCATCACCCCGTGGTTCGTGCTCCTCCACCTGCAAGGTGAGTAGTTCCTTTGCGCACGGGATCGGGGACTTCGAAGTAGCCATAACTTCATGGTGTCGTAGAAGCTCAGCAATATAAGGTTTTTGGTGTATCCAATAGGTATCCATGCCCTCATTGGACTCAATCTCACAACCCAAAAACCGAATTCCGCGACCCGACACCACGATTTCCAGGCTTGAGGTCTTCCAAGTCGACTGTATGGTAGCCGCCATGGCTTCCACCAAGGCACGAGGTCCCAGCAATAACAGGTCATCGACGTATATCAACAATACTCCTCCTGGTTGTTGGTCTCCCTCGTGCCCTGCCTGAAAAAGCATCCATATATTCGGCTCCGCTGTTCCTTGTTTGAACTCCCAATCAACACCATCCAAGTGTACGCATCTTCTTTACCACCTCATCCCTGAACTCCGACCATAGACGAGGGGCCTGCCGCAGTCCATACATAGCCCGTGTCAGAATCCACCTTTCGGTGGCCGTTGCCAGACCCAATTGTACCAAAATGGCCGGTGGAGTGGTGGCAAAAAGCACTTTGTCCTGCGGCAGGGGTGTTAGCATAAAAGCTCCACCAATATCCAGACCTCCAGCTGCCCACCTCCGCAATGCAGCTAAAGTCAAAGCACACTGCAGGGATTCCGCTGCAGCACCTGAAGCAAAAACTTCTCCAGGATCCTGCTCATTGAAGTTGCCACAGCGTACGATACGAGCCTTGCGTTTGCATTTGGCCTCCTCCGTGCCAGGAACAGCGTCTTCTGCCGGGGGCTTAATGGTGTAGACCAGCTTGGCCGGTAGCTCCTGGATCTGATGCGTCCTTCGAAGTTTTCGTACACCTTCAACGTCTGTACGGTAGAACCCTTTCTCCACAACCCGGAGCTCCTTCTCAATAGACTTCCGCCATCGTTCCACAGCAGCTCGAACCTCTTTCGGGCTCACATTGTGCGTGTGACGCAGCGGCTCAACGAGGCCCGAAATCAGCCCCTCAATATCCTCCGTATATTCAGGCTCCACCTTTGCTATACGAGGAAACGCCAGCTCCCACTCCTCCAAGTTTGCTGCCATCTCCTCCTGAACCCCTGGGTCCGCCTTTTCATCATCAAGATGCCCTTCATATCTTCGACGAAGCAACTCATACTCCGGCCCAGGATCTACTGTACTGCATAAAGCACGTAGGCGAGGAAGGGATTCATCTCCACATTCAGAATCACGCTCCATAATACATGACTCCTCACTGTCCTCCACAAACAGCTCCCATTCGCCCTCTGCTTCATCACCATCATCACCAAACGCATGGGCCTCAACCTCCTCCCTTGCCCCTGCCGCCTGAGATCCACTCGAGGCTACGAACTGTGGCCAAAAGGAAGGAGCCTCTTCCATGGGTGTGGTTTCCCATGAAGCGCCGGCTGAATATGAAACTCTTTGAATTGCTCGCACCGTCGGAAGTGCGACTCCAGTTCCTGTCACCGGGAACCCTTGACTTGAGAAAACAAATAATTCCACATCTGCTTGCAGTAGACGTTGCACACCAGAGGGAGTATATGCCGAGAGCACCCACTTCATACCAGGCTCATTCACCATTGCATGCCTCGACCGTGGGTCAAACGCCACCGGCTCATCTATAGAGTGCACCCGCCCATAATGAACCTGGCCGTCCGGAGTTTGATACTCGTGCGGGTAGGATAAGCCATCTCCACCTTGGACTTGGTGACTCTCCTCTGTACCCTCCACCCATAAACCTTCCAGGGACTCATCTGCAATCTCCATGACATAGTTCCGGGTTCCCTTTTGATTGTGCACATCACGATGGGCCGGGATCTCATTGGCCCGTTGTACAGCCAGTGTAGTCCAATTGCTTGTAGACCCCGGCATAGTATACTGTAATCTGACCAGCAAAAACTTGTTCAGGAAACGCATAGTGTAGGGCATCTCCCGCCCATGAGTGGTGACCCCAAACGAGCCTCCTCGTACATAGGCCCCCAAAACCATGCCTTGTCCCTCCGAGGTCCTTGGTGTTTTCCACCGAGTATGGAATCCTCCCAGAGCTCTCATCAATCTTTGACACGCTGCTTTCGAGAAGTCCCCTGCGGCCAGCAACTCACGAGCCACTGCCTCCACCGCCTGCTTCTCCTGCGCTTTCAAGACTTTCATCATGATCTCCTCCTGCTGTAAGGACTGATCGACCTCACCATCGTCCCCCTCAAGCGACTCACACATGTCCTCATAATCCCCATCTCGCAACGCTCTCATTCTAACGCCAGGTGACTTTCCACGGACACGGGTACCAGGTGGGCTATATGTAATCGGCGGACCAGTAGGATACGGCGGCAAAGCATCTGAAGCTTCACTTCTAAAAGGACCCCGACCAGACGATGATGGCAACTCAACTCGATGTTTATCTCCGGGATGTTCGGCTGCAACTTCTTCAATTGGTCCTATTGACCGTTCACGACCCCGACCAGACGATGATGGCAACTCAACTCGAGGTTTATCTCCAGGATGTTCGGGTGCTGCGTCTGGTGGCTCCAGTGGGGCCGGCAAGGGTGGCGGATCCTCACTATCAACAAGTATGGGAGGCGCCACATCGTCCAACCTTGGTGGTTCTCGTGCAACACGAACATGGGTTGTAGTCAGAAACGTACCTGTAGACTTCAATATCACATGACCTCCACGCACATCTGTAGAGGGTCCCAGGTATTTCCCCTGCATCCAATGTGGCTTCATACTTTCCACATCTCCAGTTGGTTTTCACATACACCTTGGCACCATAAGCTACAGGCATCGGGTTCGGTATTCCCAGCTTGTCACATCGCTGTTGTAGAGCCGCTGATTGGATCGCTGTAGGCCAGTGTTCACGCCCTAGCTCCGCTGCATCCAACAAGATCCGGCCCCCTGCGCTTCAGGAATCGCACCCCCGCTTCAGCAACCCCATTCTCGGCCGGCTCCGACCCTGTAGAAGTGGTCCTCGTAATACCTTGGTTCAACACCCATCTTCTGATAGCATTGCTCCGCAGTTCTCCGCCGCGGTCTGAGTGTATCCTTGTGACAGGGTAACCAAGCCCACGAACATCTACAACCATCTGCTGTAAAGCCGGAAGAATATGCAACGACTTCTTGCTGTTCATCGGGACACAGAAATATAAAGTCTCCGTCATGAGCGGCGCCTTGAACTTCTCCTTAAGCCGTTGCCACTCCTCCTGTTCCCGACGCTCCTCAGCAACCGGCGCCATATCTTCCTCCTCCTCAAGATGAGCTTCCTCCTGGTCTTCATCCGAGAGGACAGGGTCATCATCCACTTCAGGCTCCTCTGGAATAGGGTGTCCACGTAACTCCTCATCATAAAAACCCCACCATCCAACAGAGGTATTCTGAACGCCCCAACCAGGAAATACTTGAAATATTTTCCATCCGGCGATTTGCCAGCCCCACGCAGAGGACCGGCCAGGTCAATGGATAACGTGTATCCAGTCGGGTGCAGCGTTGCGCGGTGCTGCTTGCCTGTTGCAGCATTGCGCACGCATGGTGCACAATCACGACGAAATGGTTGATGATTCCGCGTGACGTGTAAACGCCATGCCGCGTCTTGCGACATCCTGGACAGCTTTATGCGCCCTCCAGCGCCGTATACTGCACCTGTAAGCCCATTCACAATCTCGATGGACTCCTCCTCTCGAAACATTGGGTCTGAAAGACACATCTCATCACAATAGCGCTGGGCCTTTCCATCGCACATCCAGTCCAAGGAATCCACATTTGCACCACGGCGTCGCTCAACCAGAAACCTAGGTACGGTACTTCCCCGGTAGCACTGTCCTGCCGCCGACAGTGCATGCAAGAAGTGAACCCTTGCACGATGGCAAGTATGAGCCTCAAACTCACTTGTAGTGGCCCCAACATCTCGGGAAATGATAGCACCCAGTCGTCCCTGACAGGCAGCCCATAGCAGCACCCTCCACGTAGAAGCCAAGCCACCCTGTGCTAGGAGCGACCCAACGTTGAGGTAGGCGACCTCCGACAGCCGGCCCACACCTTGCAGCACATCTGACTTCCTGGTGAATCCCGGCGGGTCCCAACGTACAATCCAGGTAGAAGCCCTCATCAGCCTTTTCCTTGTACGTCGGTTGAGGCCCAAATCTTTCATATATCCCCAGCCTCCATCACCAGGTTGCCGAAGTAAGAGGGTACTTAGATCTTCGTGTTCTCGTTCATCAAAGAACATAGCCCTCCGAAGTGCCTCTTTTCCCGACTCCACATTTCCACTCACAACATACTCAAGCAAGCAGGACCGCCAGCTAACCTCCACATTCTTTAGAATCTTCACGGAGTCCAAAGTAGCTTCTTGAAGTTGAGGGACCTGACAACGCTCAAGTTCATCTATCAGCTGCTGGGCAGTTGGCTCATCCACCTCCGGGCATCCACGTACCACCTGTAAAGGAATGCGCTCCCCGGCGCCACGTTCCAAGCAGCATTCTGTGGCAGTCCATCTGAGATTGTAACCCAGGCTTGTAATAACTCTGCCCAGTGGAACAATAACCTGCGTAAGCTCATCTCCACTCAACAGTGTCCCAGCTGCGTTTTGTCTCATAACTGTCTTGGAGTCACCAGCTAAAGCAACACCCACCTTCATTGCATCCTTCCATTCTTGCTCATCGCGGGGTGGTCGAAGGGAATGCGTTGCTCCACTATCCATAAGCGCAGGCTTTGAGGATGTAAATCCACCCCAGTTCTTCACCCACTTATCCACCGTAGATACCAGAGAGCTAAATCCATCCACCTTCTTCACCTCCTGTAGTACAGCCATAACCTTGACAACTGCCTCTGTAGCCCCATCAAAGCCAACTTTCCTGGTAGGTGACGACGAGGTGCTCGAGGGCGCGGAGGACGGACTTGCTGCTGTCTCTTTTACAGGCGGGGCCTTTGGTACATCCTTAGGGCGGGCTGCTGCTGCACCACCACCTGCAGCCTTACACTCCTTGGACTTGTGCCCCACACCTCCACACACCAAGCGTCGCCGCGATCGCTCAGACCGTTCAAAGGCGACCAAGTATGTGGGTACCTGCAGTCCTTGCCCCGCCGACATCCCGTTTCACTCATAAAAAACTTGCATTGGCCAGATCCAGTCTTAGGCTGCGGGGGCGGAGGCGGTGCCATAGCCGGATTCGGCGAAACTGAATCCGATGGGGCACCCAAGGTCTTGAGTCTCGGGTTCAACTCCACTCCACGCGAAGCTCCCAGTCGTGCCTGCTGCTCCAGCTCCGCCTGCAAGTGCTGAAAAAACTTCGTCACGGAAACCGAAGTGGGATTCACATCAACTTGTAGCGTCGACTGTATAAGGCTAACCCGAAAGGCCAGCTCCGGGTCCGCTCGGACTACTGCACTGCATATCCTGTCCAAGCCCTGCAGCAAAACGCTTGAGTCCGGCTCCGTGATCCCAATAGCCATCGCACACTTCCGCCAAAGGGCCCACTTCCTCAAAGCCTCTACTGCTGTAGCCGCGTCTTGGCATTCTCCCGGTCGTTCCAGGTTGGCGAGGACGAGGGCCTTTTCTTGCCGATTCCCAGGCTGATACGTAGAGAAAAGCTTGGCCAGCAAGTTCAGCGTATTCACACCTCCTGCAGCTATGACTTCTTCTTTCAAGCTGGCAGGTATAGCTGTAAGCATCATCGCTGTAGCCCGCCTCTCCACTCTGGCCCACTCTGGCTTGCTTGCAGAAGATGAAACCACAGGTAACAATTGTATTCTTTCCAGCGGGGTAGCCACAGAATACTTGCTGTACCACAACATAACTTCCCTCAATGTATCCGACCACCACAAACTCGACGAGTCACTCAAGTCCTCCATAATAGGCGTAATATGGGTAACCCAGTTAATCAGATCGATGCTGCCAGTCTCCGGGGTGTACGGGGGCAATACCGGCAACTCTGTTATACCAGGCTTCACAGTCTCTGGGCGGTCTCCACGCGCACCCTGACTCATGAGAAGTGACTCAATCCCTTTTGCCATTGCACTCAACACTTGATCGCTACCAGCCAAGTTCGCAGATGCTATGGCCGGCACCGGCGGTGGCGGGATCGCCGAGGACGTTGGTAAAGAAGAAGAGCCACTTGCCCTCCCACCTGTGCCTCTGGGCGGTGGCGCCGCCCCGGTAGCTCCACTCAAACCAAACAAACCTTGCAAAAACCTTCTTCCAAGGCCTTCTTCCGGATTGCCCTGCTTGGGTTCGCGAGGATCAACACCTGCCACGGAGGCTGGGTCGTTGCAGAGGGTCACGAGGTTGAGGGTCTGGTGCTTGTGGTAGTTTAGGACTAGTTCCCCAGGTAGCATTCGTCAACGTCGGCATAGAAGGGGCAGTAGTTCCCAAACCTAGAGGTACACCAGAAGGTTCACTAGGAGGTAGGAGACCAGGTGGGCTTACAAAATCTTGCATCGATGCTCTAGGCTGTTGTGGCAACGATCCCACCATTGCTCCAGCAGAAAAACCATCACCAATCATCATTGAAGCATCCTGCGTCATTGCCCGCGTCTGCTCCTCCATCGCCTCCAACTGCTGTCGTAACTGAATAGCTTGCTGTTCTGCTTCCTCCGTTCTCACACGCTCTTGGTCCAAGCGCTCCATTAACCCGCGATACATTTCACTAGCCACACCATCCAACTGTCTCGCCACTTCAGCCTGAACCAATTCATAAGGTACTGCAGCTGACCTTGTAGAAGCTAACGCGCCCCTTAACGACCAT